TCATTGGGAGTCAGGATGACTCAAAGGCGTGCATAGACAGAATTCTAAGGATGCCCAATGGAATATTTAGAAAGGGTGTCTTTTTAAAGCTTTCTAAAGGAGGTAAGCAGTTCCACTGATTGATTCTTTTAACTCTACAGAATTAGGTATTGCATATAAAATTGTACGTAGTAAAGTTTTAATTGTAAATGACGTTTTTTTAAAGCTTTAATCTTAATATAATTCGTGTGAACAACCACTTTCAACTTGATTGTAAGGAAATGTTTGTAAACGAGTTGACAAAGTCCTGACTATCTTTCTAGAGTCAACTGTCTCAGCGACTGACTTTCATAATTTTAATTCTAACTTCTGTACACCTCACCCCATATTTTCATTTTGCTCATTCAAATTTGTAATTTTCATTATACACACACAGACACAGGCAGACAGACATACATGCACACACACACACACACACACATATATGTTTTCTTAAGTTTTCGTGGGTACTTACATGTATGTTATTCAGCTTTGTTCGGGTATTTTCCCACGTCATTATAGTTGTGCTTTTAAAGCTGTAGCAATGTTTTGGCAGAATCTCATCTGCCATCATTAGGCTTCTGTATTTTGTATTCTGTAACAGAATATATATATATACCGTGTTTCTCCAACAATACGCCCCCCCAATAGGAAGACCCAGCATGTTTTCTAGGCATAAAATGAAATTAAGCACCTCCCCCTCCAAATTTAGACCTATTTTAAAACATGTGAAATGGGTGAGAAGGGCAGGGGGGACTTGCCGTTAGGAGCACCCCGTGGGCAGCCATGCCTCGCCACCGGCCACTCCTAATGGCCGATCATGGTGAAGCGCGGAGAGCTCCCTACTCCTGCCAAGCACCTTTGATGCAGACCCGAGACCTTTGGCGCCTGCCACTGTTGCTTTCCCTTCTGCCCACGCCGCCACTGCATTTGGAGCTGCTGCTTCCGTGTTTGGAGTTGCTGCTGCTATTTGGAGCGTGTTTCCGCACTCCGCCATGATCACCCATTAGGAGCAGCTGGTGGCAAGGCATGGCTGCCCATGGGGCACTCTAGACAAGGATGCAAGGGGGGGAATTAAGTCACCCCCGAAAAGACAGCCTAGCCATTTTTTCGGGGCTCAAAAAAATAATAATAAGACCCAGCCTTATTTTATGACAAACACAATATATATGTATATGTATATGTATATGTATATGTATATGTATATGTATATAAACTGTCAGTAAATTTCTCCTTAGTTCTAACCCAGGGGTGGGATCCGACAGGGTTAACTACTGGTTCAGTGATTTATGATGTGCTTCCCTGCAAGTTGCACGTGTGTGTAAATCTTCGTCAGCTTGCTGCCTGGACAGTTTAGCAGTGCTGCGTGCAGGGAAGCTGTGTTTGAAAAAGCACTTTTTTCCTGCTTTTTCAACCACAGCTGTGCCTCGCACAGCAGCTGAGGTTAAAAAAGCAAAAAGTAAAGATCAGGTATGAGCCCGGGTGGGTGGGTGGGCCAAAACATCAGCAGACATAGAACCGGTTCTATGTCTGCTGCTCTTCAGAGCTACCGATTCTACAGAGCCGGACAGAACCGGTAGAATCCCACCCCTGCTCTAACCTCAGGGATTCAGGTAAGAAATGCAGGGATTCAGGTAAGAAAAATGAGACAAAACTCACTTAAGAAACTTCTCATGTAGCAACATAAATTCTGGGCTGACTTGCAGTTATAAGTCGAGGACTAACTGTATATAAATAAAGGGGTGGGTGGGTCGGGGAAGGAAATCCTTTCAGATTTGCAAGAGTCTAATGTAAACCTTCCAATAAAGTTAGCTCTTCTGGATCTTGTCTGGATTACCTAGGAAGGCTGATAGATTCCCACTGTCCATGTAACCCAGGGGTGTCAAACTCAATTTCATTGAGGACCGCATCACAGTTGTGTTTGATCTTGGGAGCCTTGGGTAGGTGTGGCCAGCTTGACATCACTCATGTTGGGGCAGCCTGTGGCGGCCCAAGCACTCTGTCAGCAAAAACGGGCTCTCCAACTTTGCTGGAACCCTGGACAATAAAGATAGAGGTACTACTTGTTGTGGTCTGCCAGCGGCCAGAGGAGCTGGCAGCAGATTCAGACAGTGAGGAGGTTGGGGAGGAACATGGGCCAGTCCTGGAGTCTGGGGAAGGCTCTGACAAGGGCTCTGCATCGGAGGCAGAGATGGAGCCGGGGCTGTCCGACAGTTATCAGCTGCCTTTGGAGTCGGAGATCAGTGGGGCAGAAGAACAGCTGGAGCCTATTCCCGATGTACACATGCGCAGAGCTGTCAGAAGAAGGGTACAGTTAAGGATCAAGAGTCAACTCGGGAGTAAAGGCACAGGTGCACGGTGAATGGACCCTCCCATAGGGGATAAAAGAGGAGCAAAAGGGGAGTGGTGTTTGCAGGAGACAATTAGTTCAGTTCATTAGGGTGAAGATCTGTTCCTGATTTCTTGCCAAATATTTTCTGCTACAGAGTGGCGTTTGGAATATACCGGCCTGGCAGCTCTCCAAGCCTGATAAAGGTCTGTAGTTGTGAAATCTCTTGAAAGACCGTTGGCCAGGGCTTTGCTGAAGAGGAATTCTCTTTAACCTAAATAAAAGGGGTTTTATCGGGATGAGGAGTCGGCTTCGTGCTTTCGGGAAGCCTAGGTCCGAACAGCTCCCAAGCTCCCTTTTCAGCTGCGACAACTTCTTGCAATCCTCTGCCAGCCACATGCGGCCCCTCCCAAGCTCCGTTTTTGCTGGCAGAGGCACTGCGTGCCGGTCCTTCGCTGTTTCTGTTCTGACCCAGGCTTAGTGAACCGTAATTATTCACAAACTTGTTTTAAAAACAAAACCTATTTTATTGCAACGCTGGGAATTGTTTTCATTCCCAGCCAGAATTAAACTCAAGACAGTCCCCCAAGATAAGCACACACCTTTCAGTTCTGAGAAGTGCTGCCAAAAACAGAAGTATCCAATGAACTAGAAAAGAAACCAACCAAAGTACAAGAACAAACCAACCAGAGTACAAAAGAGCTTCCAGAATGACTCAGAACCGATCAAACTACTTTGCTTCCTGCAAAGGTTTCGTCATCTCAGCCTGACTTTTATCCCTTATGGGAAGGGCAATCACCTCCCAGCTCCTTATTCCCGAGTTGCCCCTTTTGTTTCAGCTGCTCTCGCCTTCTAGCAGCTGTGCGCACAAGCGCACTGGGAACAGGCTCCCCTGGGTCCTCTGCTTCACTGCTGTCAGACTTCGGAGGCTCCAGAGGTAGCACCCCACTTCCAGATAGCCCTGGCCCCACCTCTACATCGGATGCAGGACCCTTGTCCGAGTCCTCTCCAGACTCCCAAACTGGTCCCTTTTCTTGCCCACTGTCCGATTCCGCTGCCGGCTGCACTGGCTGCTGGCGAACCACAACAGGCCTTGAGTTAGACACCCCTGATGTAACCGATCTCCCACGATCCGGTGTGGCTTGGTACACAGTAGATCACCTACAGGTGGCTTTTGAAAGTCTTGGCTCTCCTCTTTTCAAGACCTCCAAAAGTTCTTGCCCAATGGTAACATTTCGTGTGACAGAAGGGGAAAATAATTAAATGCATGACTGCGGATTAATCACATTAAGTACATTTAGTTTTAATTAAATTTACATTTAAATGAAGTCAGATCTAATTTAGTTTCAGCTTGGTCTTTCACCTGCTACTCTTGGAGAGCTGTCTCCGGCTAAGCCACGGATGACTGTCCCTGGTATGCCTTCCTCCAATGAAATCTGAA